CTCGGTACTTTGTACCACTTTATTACTTGCAAGCGATCATAGTGTCGGCGTGCACTTGCACCGCCATTGTGGGGACATTCTGCCCACTAGGTGAACACGAACGATCCTAGCCCTGTCACCCATACTCAAGACTTGAGTATCTCCTATGTGGTATGCGCACATGGTTCGGTCAAGCAAGTCTGGAGTTCAAATGGATGGACGTGTCTACAAATCTGGAAAACAAGACTTCAGAATTTAGCAATCTGAATCGCCAATTACTCTGCAGTGGCGGTTTTACCACCAACGCGTAACGTAACCGTTGGAGATGACACATGTCACTTAGGCACACCTATTTGAACCGAAAGTGAAATTGTGTCTACATACATGTTTAGGCGGGAAAAATCAGTAACCGACGCACAGGAAAGAGCCGCATGGCCCAAGGGTTACTTATTTATTAGGGTTATATATATAGTTTTAATATAATTTGTAATTGTAAGTGCAACGGAAAAACTTAATGTTCAAATATTTTGGTTACAACTATTGGAAAACTTTTCTATTACATAAAGCTCATAGTCGGATCGAATAAGATATTTAATTAAAACATACATGGTATTTAGAATTGTATATTTTAAGATATGACGAGATATCTGACGGGGCACTAAAAAACCAACAATAGTTTCCTCTACAGTTGATCTACACACGAACACGCGTTGATCTCCCACCAGGTGCTAGTCTAATATTAATATGTGTATCACTGGAAAAGAAAATGTTTATTTTCCATGTTTAACTGATAGCCAAATCTAAAAGAATGAATCAATAATAAATTGAATTGGCCTAACACCCTATTTATATGGACTGATAGCATATTCAGTCCATAACTCAAATAAGGTTCAATGTTTATCTGTAAATAATTATATAATTATCTAAAACATTAATAATTATGCTTATTTACAAATAATACCCTGTAATTATCATAATTACATTTTAACACATATTTTATAATTATTCTTCAAGTATAATCATTTAACTATCAAACATGACTTTCGGGTTACTTTCAAATGGAAGCAAACGTATTTTTTGCATACAACCCTATATAGGTTTATATACCCCTCAGCAGTATCCATATGTGACGTCTCGTGGACATATTATAACTTACAATATAAAATAATTTTTATTTAAAAAATAGTAGGTACCGTTAGTTCTGATTCTGGGTATCCAACAGGACCGGGTACCCGATCCCAGAACGACTGATTCCGGTTCCTGTTCTTATTTTTTTGGAGCCGTTAACCACTGGGTACCCAACAAGACCGGGTACCCGATCGAGAATCGGTCCCGACGGGTACTCAACGGTTAACGGTTCTAAAAAATAAGAACAAGAACCGAAATCAGTCTAGATCGGTTCCATATTTTAGGAACCGAGAGTTCCGAAGCGATTCTGGTTCCAAAGGCATGTACCCGCTTTTGATGCTCACCTCTAAATATTAGTGTATATACATCAACTATTCTTCTCAAAACTTTGTTGATTTAGATGTTGTCCCACATACTTTATTATTACTAGAAGGGTGCTCGCATAATATAGCGAAATATATCTCAATTTTAATGTTTCATTTTATTTATTTACCTATGTCGATATAATATGGTTTTTAGTAGTTTTAAGAAAGCGATAATGTTTTTATTGTTGAATAAAATATAAATTTAAATATGTCATATATTTTTAAAAAAAATATCGATATTAGTATCAAATTTACTATTTAAAGTTTTGGTTTTTTGTGTAATTTTCTTAATATAATATTTTATTTATAATTTAATTAGAT